GCAAGCGTGGCCTTAATAAGAGTAATTCTCCCACCAAAAGAGAGGTAGTTCTTTTTCCATGACACCAGTCTTTTTTCGAACCTTTCTACCACCGGGTTCCAAAAGCTCTCTCTCATGGGATTATCCCCTAAAGGCAACCCTAAGTAGTTCAAAGGCCAACCCGAGACTTCACACCCCAATACTTCAGCACTCTCCTTGATCTCTCCCTCCTCCAAATTCACCCCTACAACACAACTTTTCCCAAGATTATCTTTCAAGTTGGATATTTGCTCAAACATAGGTATTGATAATAGTTGGTCTTGATTTATCTTTGCGCTAATGTTGGGGGAAGCTTCATTTTAACATTTTCTCCAACAATTAAGCATTTATTCATTATTCCACTTATATGACACCTAATGATGCTTAATTGTCAATAAACAGTTTATCAAGTGATTTTTCTTGATTTTGAAGACAAATCAAGTACCAACGTTTATTTAATAAATGAAAGCTATATCAAACACATACTATATAATTGCCATATATCACTATTATACATGTGTTACTGACAGATGTTGCTATTTTCTGATTGCCATGTGTTATATAACAATACAAATTGACATGTGTTATTATTATATAACTGTCACATGTTACTATTATACATGACAGCCATGTGTCATACATGTTTACTATTATACTTTTTCCAAATGTAAATGGTGCTTTATTTTAAAAAACATACTTTTTAAAAAAATTTTATTCAAATGAATTTGACACTTTTAAAATATAAAGTACAAAGTCTACACTTTAACAAGTATAAATACAATTATTTTGAAAACCAATGAAATTATGAATAAATTTATTAGAGCTGTGTAAAAGCCAAATTCTCCAAATCTAGTATTATTTGTTCAAAAAATTTATCAAGAAAACTCCAAAAAAATCATTTCTAGAATTCTTAAAATTCCTTTAAATCAAATAGATGACTCGCATACAGGAGCTCCTATCATTGATAGCAAAGGAAGAACTAGTCCCGAAGCGATTATTAATCAGGACAAAATAACAGATCCAAAACCATCCCAATTAATAGTTAGGTCCTATCGGGTTTTACCCGATAAACTTGATTATTTTGAAAACTATATGTTTATTTAAATAATAACCTAAATCGAATAATAAAAATGAGTAAAATACTAAATTGTTTATATTTTAATACATTAAACAGTTCAACCAATATTGTCATATATATTATTTATCAAATTGACCATTTGAAACATAAAATATAATAAAACTACGACAATATATATATATATATATATATATATATATATATATATATATATCATTATGGACGGACTAGGTCCAATCTAATATGTTATATTGGTCCGTCCAATCCATCCAAATTCAATGTCTTATTGGTCCGTCCAATCCGTTCAAATGGATTTTGATTTGGACGGAGTCCAACACAAAACTGGTCCATTAACACCCCCAAGTGCGAATAGGTTTATGTCGTGTTAGGCCGCAATCCAGGCTGTGGGCAACACAATTTTTTTAGAAAGATTGAAAAATTAATGAGAAAGTTAAAATAAATTAACAAGATAAACATGAAATTAAAAAAAAAAAAATCTTAAAATTTTATTGGGCAAATTTTTTTGAACTACCCCTAAGTTTTAGGAAATTGACTTACTCACCCCTACTGTTTGGAAATTGATTTAAAGTATCCCTAAGCTTTTTGACAATTAACTAAATCCTCCCTTACCCTTAGCATTCCGTCACAATCCATTCACATGTGACACCACATGACATATAATTTTTTTAAAACCCAAGATTACTCTTTTGTGTCGATTTTTCCCTTCATTATTCTTTAAATTTTCAAATAAAAATAATGGCTGTGGAAAGTCTCTAACCATTTACTGGTTTCAATAGTGGCTATGGAAACTCTAAACCCATGGAAAACAAGGTTGTTTGTACTTTGTACAAGTTCAAATAAATCCGGGGCCAAAATTGTCACCCAAAGAGGAAACAGCGCAATTCCATAGAGGGGCATACCGTGCCTTTTTAATCCTCACTTAGCAATAAACACGTTTAGAACTGAAAATGATGATTTGTTTTGATCACCAACTAGAAAACTGTTCAACTTTTTGGGTTAACAAATCAATTGTTTTCGCCTTTCACTCCCTTTCTCTGCCTGTCTATCTTTCATCTTCACCCTCTAGCTATCAGCTCTTATTGCCAGCGACGCATCAAAGAGATAGAGAGATCGAGAGCTCTCTTTTGTTTCGCATTCTTTTCCCTTTTCCTAGTTCTTTCGATCTTCTTTTCTGTTTCGGGAATTACAGAAAAAACTCTCTTCGCTTTGATGTATAACATTGTAAATAGGATTTGTGGGGCTGTGTGAATGGCAAAGAGGTAGAAATGGGGAGGATTTTTTGTTGAAGTTGGAGTAGTTGGTTTCAGTGGTTATTCTTGTTAGTTGCTTTCTTTGGTGTTGGATCTATATGAAACAACCAAAATCTGAATTTGTTGAAGTTTTCTTTTTGAGTTTCACGGTTGTTGTTGATGGGAAAAATGAACAATAAATAAAGAAGTAGGATGGTGTTGGAATCGGAATTCAGTTGTTGGTGCTACATTTTTTTTACTGATCTAGGGTTTTTTCTGTTGCTTTCTCTTTTGCTTTTGTGGAATTCAAAGAGATAAGAAAGATACAAAAAATAAAATAATCTTATATTCAAATGTTTCATTTTGAAAATTTAAAGAAGAATGATGGATAAAATAGTCTTTTCCATTTTTTTTAACGTAGTTTGAGAAATTTGTCCAATTTTATTTCATATGAATTTTGATGTATATAATTGTTTATATATTATTATTATTATTATTATTAAGGGTAAATTCTAAATTAGTACCTTGTACTTTAGGACTGCTTCACTTTAATACCCAAACTTCAAAACATGCCACTGTAGTACCTTAACTCCCGAAAACTATATAGTACCCGTGATTAGTAGTTTGTTAGTTATCTAACTCACATGATGTCATATGCGATTTGTAATATTTCAAAATTAAAAATTACCCTTTTGAAGAAGACAATGAACAATGTCTTGAAAGAGTCTCAAATCCACTATTTTTTATGACCTTTACTTGAAAGATGTTTCACTTATAGATTTTAATGTGCTTTTTTAAGCTCTTGTCGTTCTCAAATAAATAAATTTATTAAAAAACAAAAAAATACAGAATTTATTCATTAATCACGAGGGCCAATAACAAGGCTTTGTTGTTGTTAAGTCAACCTAGACCATTTTACTAGTATGAGGGCCGTGGTGCGAACCAATTAACATATCAATTGAGCCATCCCTTGATTGGCTACAAGGATATTTGTATCCTTAAAGTTCGGTAATTGCAATTATCTCTCTTAAACTTTTGACATAATTACAAATAGACCCTTTTGTTATAATCCACTAAGAAAGAGATAAAAATGTCCAAAATAACTATGCAATTACTATTAAGGTTTATTTCTAAAAAAACAAAAATATTAAAAAAGAGAATTTAAAGTTGTAGTTTTACCTTGGAGTGATTGATATAAAAGGCAAATTTGGATAATAAATCACTTTCATAATCAGTCACAAAATTCAGGGGAGGTGGTTGAAATTATCGAATGTCATGGGATGTATCAGAAATAAAGAGAAGCTTCAGGGAGGTTTCATCAATTTACCCTAGAACAATTTATCCAGAATTCCAGATGCTCGAAATGGAAAAAGGGAAAGAGCAGGAAGTCGGAACACTGTTCGTGCCATATTGTATCGGATTCCGAATGCACCAATCGTGAGAATCTTTTCTAACTGTTATGTGGGAGCACTGTTCGTTCTGTAATTGATGATAGCATTCGGGACCAAACCACCCATCGCCCCCATCAGCGATGATCGTTTAGTATTTTCTCTTCTCTAAACAATTCCCATTCGAGCAGGAAATCCATTTTGTTTTTCGTTTTGTAGTTATCTCATCTGAGACTGAGAGCGATGGTAACGAATAGGCCTTGTGGAGGAGGAGGGATTGAATGAGCTGAAATCCGCCGCAGGTGATAGCTATTAACTGAAATGGCCAATGCATTGGCCCCTTCAACCGTATTCACTTCCCTACCTCAAAGTTGGAATTCATGGTCGACCCTAAAGTCCACGGAGGAATGGACGTTGTCTTATCTCAAATCCCCAAGAACACCCCCTCAACTCAGGGCCCTCCATGCTCACATCATCAAAACCGGTCTCACTCGAAACGATCTCGTCGTTGGGCAGCTCCTATTGTGCTGCTCCCTTTCAGATTCCATGCACTATGCTCGTCGAATCTTTGACGCAATTGATCAGCCGAAACTCTTCTTCTACAACGCCATGATCAAACGACACTCTGAAACCGGAGACCATGACGAAGCGCTCCGCCTCTACTCCATGATGCGTGTCCGTTCCGTCACCTGCGATTCTTTCACGTTTCCTGTTGTGCTGAGGTCGGTTTCCAGTTTAAGGATGATCGGGATAGGTAAAGAATTGCACGGCCTTGTTATTAAAACGGGTTTTGATTTGAGGGTCATCGTTCGGACTGCACTCATCGATATGTACTGCGCTTGTGGTTTCTCCAACCACGGGCGCCTGATATTTGACAGAATTAGCGATAGAGATATTATCTGTTGGAACACAATGATTGCCGGCTACGTTAAGTGTGGGGAGTTTACTAGGGCGAGGGAGCTTTTTGATGCAATGCCCGTGCGTAATGTCTCGTCGTGGAATACTCTTCTCGACATGTATAACAAATGTGATGATTTGGAAACCGCCCAATGCCTGTTTGACGAAATGCCGGGGAGAGATATTATCTCTTGGAACGCAATGATCTCGGGTTACGCAAAGCTTGGTAAATGTGAGGCCGCGAGGAGACTTTTCGATGAAATGCCCAAGAGAAACGTGGTGTCCTGGAATGTGCTGATAACTTGTTACGTGCACAGTCGACAGTTCTCGAAAGCGTTGGAGTTGTTTCGAATGATGCTGCTGTCAGACATTAAACCCAACGAAGTCACAGTTGTCGCAATACTTCCGGCTTGTGCTCATTTGGGAGCTTTAGATCAGGGACAATGGGTGCATGCTTATATAGGTAGGAGCCGAATCAAGATGGATGTTTATGTAAGAACTGCATTGATCGACATGTACGGTAAATGTGGGAGTGTGGAGGATGCAAAGCGGATTTTCAGTAGTTCGGTAGAGAAGGATACCTTCTTGTGTAGCACAATGATCGAGGTACTGGCTATGCATGGAAAGGCGGAGGAAGCATTTGAGGTTTTCAGCTATATGAGAAGCAGGAGGATCAAGCCTAACAATGTCACATTTGTGGGGCTGTTGAAGGCTTGTAGTCATGTAGGTTTGGTGGACACTGGAATGAAATATTTTGCATTGATGAGTGAAGAATTTGGGTTGACACCGAGAGTGGAACATTTTGGGTGTGTGGTTGATCTCTTAGGTCGTGCTGGCCATTTAGAGGAAGCACATCAAGTCATCAAGAACATGCCCATGGAGCCACATCCGGTGGTGTGGGCTACTCTCCTTAGTTCTTGCAGGATACATGGAAATCTCAAATTAGCAGAAGAAGCAGCACTTCATCTTTTAGAATTGGAGCCTCAAAGTTGTGCAAATTATGTCCTTCTATCAAATATATACTCTAAGGCTGGTAAGTGGGACGAAGCTGCAAAGATGCGAAAGATAATGAGACATAGGGGGGTAACTAAAAAGCCTGGATGTAGCTCAATAGAGGTGGATAGCGTTGTCTATGAATTCTTTGCAGGGGATAGAGCTCATCCCCGCTGCAAAGAGATTTATGACATGTTGGATGGTATGGTTGCAAGACTGAAGAGTGAAGGGTATGTCCCAAGGACATCTTCTGCACTGCATGATGTGGATGTCAATGAAAAGGAGCAAGCACTTGTGCATCACAGCGAGAAGTTGGCTGTTGCTTTTGGACTTTTAAGCACCGATCCTGGAACTCCTATTCGTATTGTCAAAAATCTTCGTATTTGTGATGACTGCCATGCCTTTATGAAGATGGTCTCTAAGTACTACAATAGATTGATGATCATCAGAGATTGCAATCGTTTCCACCACTTCGCTGATGGATCTTGTTCGTGCTCTGACTATTGGTGAACAATATTCTGCTTTCAATTTGATGTGTCAAGAGTCACCAACAAATCATGGTTATTTGTTTTCAATACTAAGTGTCCGTTTGGTTTGCAGGAATAAGAGTCTGGAATCGGAATCAGAATGGGCTATTTCGATTCCAACTGTTTGGTTGGGCGGAATCGGAATCCCATTCTCATTCCTGCTGGAATGGCATTCCCCCATTTGAGGGAATGGCCATTCCCTGCCCCTCCCTTGGGAATGAAATTCTATTCTTACTGATTTTAATTCCCATTCCCATTCCTGTCTGAACCAAATAGATTATGGGAATGGATCATTCCAATTCCGATTCTAAAAGATTTCGATTCCAGTTCTGATTCTAATTCTGATTACAAACCAAATGGACCCTAAATCATGGCAATTTTTTTTGAGGCACAATGAAGAGCATGAAAAACAAACTTCAAAATCCTTTTCACCTGTCTGATCAACTTCACAAAGGCCTGGTGTTTTGGATTGAAAAATTGGATCTATTTTTGCCATGGTTACCTAATTCCATGAAACCCAAGAAGTTGCAGAGACATCTAGTGAACTTTCTACTTGAAACTATTTGGTACTTGCAAATTTCAAGAGACTATTTTATAATTAATAAAAAATGTGTGGGTTGCTAGGCCCACATTATTGGATCCTTCCTGTGAGTGTGATGGTAAGACTATGAACGGGCCTCCTTGAAGGACAAAGGAAAGTTAAGGGTAAAGTGTAAGCTTAAAGGCTCTGAGTGATAGGATGGTAGAATGATGGAATGATAGAATGATGTTCTCGTTATGAGTTAGACCTATATTTATAAGGAGAGATCCCAAAGTCTCGAAAGGAAGGAGCTAAAAGTATTTTATTCCCATTAGGAAAATGAATTTTTGATTCGGTGTCAGTTGTTAAGGAGCACCGCTAGGGTCTCGTTATGTGTCTTATGAGATATCCCAAGGACGATGTTTCCTTTTGCCTAAGGATTCTTATAATACACATATGCTATTTTCTTTTGCGAATCTCTTAGATTGACGTGGCACGAATGACATCGATATTAATCTTACGTGTATTTTCTAATCCTACTAGGCATTTTGTCACGTGCGGTGTTGGTGAAGCACGCGTTTCTTTGTTCACCTCTAGCCTGCAACGGACTTGAGCTCATTGCAGACTCATAGTGGCTTGTGCTCATTGCAGCCTCGCGATGGCTTTATGCTCATCGCATGTTTGCGATGGCTCTGATATTGTCTTTGGTATTACAACTTTGGGTCTATTGCAGGTCTGCAATGGCCTTCAGCTCATCGTAAGCTCGTTTTAGGCTTTAAATTCATCGCAAGCTTGAAGCTCATCATAGGTTTATGCTGAGTCCTGAACTCGTCACACCTTTGTGAACCTTTTCTTATTAGTATTAATACATGAACTTTTGAACATTTGTTGAGTGATGTTCAATTGTGCTATAATTGCAACATAGTTCTTGAGCTGTTCAAACATCTATTGATTAGTCCTTATTTGGAAAATCACTCTTTAGTTCCTAGATCATAAAGATACATTTTACTCCCTATAATTGTAAAATTATGAGTATAAATCATAATCCTGCAGTTTAAAATATGAAGAAAAGCTAAGAATGAAAATGCCTATTTGAGCTTAGTTCGGCTCGATTTCAACTGAGCTTCAAGCCAAGCTTGAGCCCAATTTACAAGATCGTTTATCATATATATATATGATAAGATATTATATATAATGTTTTTATTTTTATATATAATAAGTAACTATAACCATTTTTCTCAAATCGAGCTTGAGCCTAGCCAAACTTGAGCTTACGAGCTTTTGACTGCAGCCGAGCTTGAGCTCAAGGTTCTAGCTCGAGCTTGAGCCTCATCTGTCTTGGTGAGCCGAGCTCAAATAGCTAAGCTGGCTCGGCTCGAACCCACCCCTACTCTTGGAACTTCTGTGTACTGTATAATTATGACAACTCTCCTTGCTATTTCCTATTGGTGTCAATGTGATTATTGAGGTCCAACACCTTTTTCACCCTTTATGTAATGTTAAGATACAAAGAGTTCTTTTAAGAGGGTAAACAACATATTGGGCATTCAATCAGATCCTTTCACCACTAATTCTTTTCCTGCAATCTGCCCTGTTTTTCTTATGGTTGGTTTAGAATAATGCGTCTTTGTCTTTTATTTTCTTACTTTCATGATTTCTGTAATCAAACATCTAATACCGTTTTGACTTTTGAGTATACGGATCAAAGCTGGATCACCCTTAAACTGGATTGATTCAAATTCAAATTCGGATAAATGGATATTTTTCATTTAGTCAACCATATTGGAAGATGGTGATCAAAATGAGATCCTGTTGTGAGTTGTAATTGGGCATATCAAATCAACCAACAAGATGTTTCAACCCCTTGATTCGCATTGATACTTAGTATATAATAGATGTAATTAAATATATACTAAACAAAGATCAGGTTAGGCTTAAAAAAGGGAACAAAAAACCAAAGATTAGGTTGCCATCTCTTGCTTTTTCTATCATGTAGTCTCAAACCGGAGGCCCAATTAATATTTACATTTTCTAAGGCACCAGAAAGGGTTTCGATGGTGTCATTAATAAAGAATAAAATGTTCAGCTAGAGGGTTTAACCCTATTAATTACAAACCTCTCTTCTTGTTTTGTCTCATCTCATGCATACTGGATCATGCAAGAACCAACTATGAGATTAAGGCTGAGTTAAGCTGACTTGTCAATGTGTATGGGGGTGAAATCTAAACCACTTTGACTTGTTTCCGCCCATGGGATGCATTAGTTTATTCTGTATTACTTCAACCAAATCGGTTATCATTTAGCAGTTAGATTTGAATATGCTAAGGTAGGTTCAATCTAGTTCTTCACAATATCAAATGCTTTTATTACTTTGAAAAGATGAGTTTGCTGTAAAATAACATAAATATGTGATGAGACCAGTTCACAATGATTCCATTTGATGTCTTTTTTCTTGGTATTTGACTTCTCTAATCCTCCAATTAAAAACTCAGCTTCAAAGAATCAGAATGACTTCTGAGGCAACATTGATTCTTTTTTGAATTCTTTTAGATTCAAAGAATTCATTTTTGGATGAGTTCTGAGCCCAGAGGAAGGATTGGTTCCAACAAGTTTCATAATACTTGAAATGATCATTTGGATGACAAAATCCATCAAAATTAATTCCCTGAAAGTATGCCAAATGCAGACCAAAGGTATGAGTTTATAATTGTTATTGTTGTGAGGTAGCTATGCATAAAACTTCATTGCCATAAGTCAAAATCATTGGGCATCATTATTGATTTCCTTCTGTTTATAAAGAGACTATGGTTCAATTTAGAACAGATCCAAACCAAAAATTGATTGACCCAATCCAATTATATTTTTAGTCTTTAACCATAATTTTATATACATATGTAAAAGCATAACATGTTTATAAGAAAAAGGTGTGGTGGCAATTACCCCGTGAACTTTCATTTGCAACGAAGACTCCCTGAACTTTCAGATTCCAACAAAGACTCCCTTTCTGTTGAGTGATGGTAAAAATCAATTCACCAATAAATTCACTTGAGAAATTTTTATAAAATGGAAATAGAAACAAAAAAAAGGAAAAAAAAACCAATAAACTCTATAAAAACTTGGAATTGCAACAAATACAACATACAATTAATATCAACTACAAAAAAGGATAATTTGAGGATTTAGAAAAGTTTAAACAGTTATATGAGAATCTTTTTCAAAATTAATTGACAGAATATTAATGGAAGGGGTCTTTATTGGAATCTAAAAGTTCAGGGATATTTGTTGCAAATGAAAATTTAGGAGGTAATTGCCACTACCCAAAATAAAGGTAGGAATATATATGTAATTTACCCAAAAACATGGGGCTTATTATTATAAATTTGGCACCCAGATTTACAAAAAAATGGTAAAATATATTAGATCCCATGTGCAACAGTGTTTTGATGATGATATCATGAAGCACATATTTCCATGGTTTATCTTAAAATATTTGTAAACTGTACCTATAAAATGTTAATGATCACTAGAGAAAACAATGGTTTTGGGACTTAAAAATCCATCCAAACACCCTACACCCTTGAATCCTTGATGTTAGTTTGAAGTAATGAGGCTTGACCTTTCCAAGCTCTTTCTGTCATAACTAGCAACTAAATATTGATGGGTCACCAGGTTGAAGAGAACTAGATCAAGATAATGGTGGGGAATTGAAGTGGGTATTTTTCTCTTATTTTTAATTATAAACCATGGAATATAATTCTGCCTCCTCTGGCTCTGGTAGTTGCTTGACATAAATGAAAGTCTAGTCAAATGGATATGGTGAATTGAAGTCTTATTCATGGTGGGATTAATTAAGTGGAAAGTTGAAAAACAGAGGGCACCACTCATGCATCATCATCACCAGGCCATGACAAGATATAAATTGAACTGAAGTGAGAGTTGTGCCATGCAATATTACGCCCTGAACTGAAAGCACATACAAAGAGAGCCAATTCAAACTCTCCTTCTCATGGCAACACTAAACTCCCTGAAGATTAACGCTACTCATGTTGAAGATCAAATGATCAGTCTCACTCTCACCCAAGAAGAAGCTCAGCCCAAAGCGGCTGTTGCGCCACTCTTCTTGGCTTACCACGACCGGATTCGACCTCTCCTCCACGCCGTCGATGAACTACGCCACCTCAAGATCATGGAAGAAGGCATACAACTCCCGACCATTGTGGTGGTTGGTGACCAGTCTTCCGGCAAGTCTAGTGTTCTTGGGTCCCTTGCCGGCGTCAACCTGCCTCGCGGTGTAGACATCTGCACCCGTGTTCCTCTCATAATGCGCCTGCAACACCACCCAACCTCCGAACCAGAGCTTCACTTGGAGTACCATGGCCAGATCGTTCCGACTGATGAAACCCATGTAGCTAAAGCCATCAGCGTCGCCACCAACGAGATTGCCGGCAATGGTAAGGGCATCTCCAACACCCCTCTGACTCTAGTAGTGAAGAAGAAAGGTCTCCCTGATCTTACCATGGTTGATTTGCCTGGTATTACGAGGGTTCCCGTTCATGGCCAACCCGAGGACATCTACGAGCAGATTTCCAACATTATAATGGAGTACATAAGCCCCAAAGAGAGTATCATTCTCAATGTCTTATTGGCCACTGTTGATTTCTCCACCTGTGAATCCATTAGATTGTCTCAGTGCGTCGATAAGACCGGCGAGAGAACTCTTGCTGTGGTTACTAAAGCTGATAAAGCTTCTGAGGGCCTGCTCGAGAAGGTGACTTCTGATGAGGTTAACATCGGGCTTGGCTATGTCTGTGTGAGGAACCGAATCGGGGTTGAGTCCTATGAGGAAGCAAGGAGGGAGGAGGCAAGGCTGTTTGAATCCCATCCCTTTCTCTCTGAGATTGATAAATCCATTGTGGGCATCCCTGTTTTAGCTCAGAAACTGGTGCAGATTCAGGCCACTAGCCTAGAGAAATGCCTGCCGGACATCGTGAAGAACATCAACCAGAAGCTCAGCCTGAACGTTTCCCAGCTTAACAAATTGCCTCTCCATCTATCCACTACGGCAGAAGCTATTGCAGCCTTCATGCGGATTCTTGGATCAGCAAAAGAGTCTCTAGGAAAATCATCATAAAAGGAGAGTTTGATGAATACCCAGATTTGAAACAGATGCACTGCGCAGCTCAAATGGCGAATATGCTGGATGAGTGCTCCAAAGAACTCCAACAGAAGTGCATGCAGAACACCGAAGCAGGTAGTTTTTTAATGCATGAAATCAAGGTCTTAGAGGAAGCTAGAGGGATTGAGCTTCCCAATTTCCTCTCTCACACGGCTTTTCTCATTATATTACAAAGAAGACTGAAGCAAGTATCCAACATTCCGGTTGAATTGGCTGAGAAGTTCTGGGATTACACCAGAGACGTGGTGGTAAGAGTGTTGATGCTTCACTGCGAAAACTACCCACAGCTCCAGTCTTCTACAAGAAGGGCAGCCCAGAATGTGATTGCAAAGATGAAGGAGCAGTCGATTGATCGAGTGAGGGAGATGCTGGAGATGGAGAAGCTGACAGATTATACATGTAACCCAGAATACATGAAGACATGGAGTGCGCTCATGACGCAGCAAGAGGCCTTCACGCAGCAGCTGACTGCCGATTGGAAACCAGATAGCACCACCATTGATGGTTATGGTGAGGTTGAGCTTGGGCATCTTAGGGAGATTGAGTATCCCATGTTAGTTGAACGAGCATTCGACTTGAGAATGAGAATCACAGCTTACTGGAAGGTTGTGCTGCAGAGGTTGGTGGACTGTTTGGCTCTTCATCTTCTGTTCAATGTTCAGAACTTGGTGAACAAAAAAGAGCTGGAGAAGGAGGTCCTGAATGAGTTGATGATGGGGCCACACTCGGGTGGAATCGAAAGGCTCCTGGAAGAATCACCCACTGTTGCCCACAATCGTGAGTGTCTCAACAAGAGTATCATTTTACTCCAGGAGTGCAAGAACTCATGGATTCTGGTGACTGCTATTAATTTAATGCACTTGGCTGTGTGTGGGTTATTAGTTTTTTTGGTTTTTTTCTTTTTCGGGTTTGATTGGGTTTCCTTTTTTTCCCCTAATGCCATGTTGTGTTTTGATTTGTTATTAGGATATGTTTGGTTTGACAAAAAATAAGAGAGAAATTCTCAAGATTGCATTTGGTAATTAAGAGTGCAAATGCAGAATTATTTTCATTTTGATTTGGTTTTGCAGGTATTTATTGGTAAGAGTGTTTTTTTAGAGTAAATTTTTTATGGTTCAACTAATTGACTAAATGTACCCATTGACGGAAAAAATTAAATGTCCATTTTACCCTTCTGCAAAGTTACATTTGTTTCCTTCATTAGTCGAGCGTGCGCAGGCGGGCGGAGTTGTCATTGTCCCTCCCGTTCAGTACTTCAGTAACCAAGACATAGACAATAACGCCGTTAGCCTCAAGAAACCCACCGTGAGGAACCCCATCACTGCTAAACCGATGGTGATAGTTGCAGGGACCAACAGGCTGAAAATTACAAAGGGTGGTGTTGCCACCACGAGGCCAGTGAGCGAAGATCCCAGATCTGTATCTGTCTCCGGCCAAGATGCATATTGACTTTAATTTGGGGTTGGGGTGGAGCACCTTCTCCGTCATCATCTCCATCTTCTGACCCATGTATCCTGCTGCATCCTGCATGCGTTGCATAGACAATAACACCGCTAGCATCAAGAAACCCACCGCGAGGAACCCCATCACTGCTATGATGGTGATAGTTGCAGGGACCAACACGGGCTGAAATTTACGAAGAATGGTGTCGCCACCACGAGGCCAATGAGCGAAGATCCCAGATCTGTATCTGCCTCCGACGAAGATCCTACGTTGACTTTAATTTGGGGTTGGGGTGGAGAACATCTCCGTCATCGTTTCCATCTCCCTTACTGGAAAAGGCGTCACGAGAGGTTGCCGGTTCTGCAAAGGCGGAAATTGACGCTGCCAATGCTGGTGTTGCAAAGGCGTTGGAGGGTATTTGGGTTGTAACAGAAAAGAGTCCAAAAATTGACATTGCCATTGAAGCCTAACTCATTGAAGTTGGAGAAGGCCAGGCTTTGATAGGAATGGTTCTTTTTGTTCTGGTGGAAGTCCCCGAGAGTATATGAAGGCGAGAACAGGGTCTGATACCGTGATTTTTCTCTACAAAGACTTCCTCAAAAAATAAAGTGGCGGCTGAGACTTGCTTGCCTCTTCCCGGAAGCAAAGAAACTTGGCGGTGAGGTCAGATTTCTCCTTTCTCTATTCTGAGACCTCCCCTTCCGTTTCCGACTCTGGTCTCTCTCCTTCCTCCGGAGAGAATGTAGAGGGTACTTTGGACATTATGTAACCCAACATTAAATCATACGGATAACTCCAGTCAATTTTTAAACAATAAGGATATATTTAGTCAATTAACTAAATCATAAGTGTAGTTTAAGAAATTTACCTTTTTTATTGGGTAAATTGCTCAAACCTTTCCTCAAGTTTCTGACCATAGCCGAAACCTCCTCTGGAGTTTGGTAATTGAAATCACCTCCCTTAACTTTTTAGTACAATTGCAATTAGACCCCTTTTGTTAAAGAGGGGCTTCAGTCAGGGCAAAGCCCGTTCCAACAGCCTTTACAGCCTTGCGTTGGGAATATCTCGGTAGTTATGTGATTTATTTCATGGGAGATATTCCCAATACAAGATTGCAAGGGGCTGCTCGAAGGGTGCGAGAACCGATTTGTCCCGATAGAAGTCGAACTCTTTATTAAAATCCTCTAATAAGATGCACAAAAATGTTCAAAATACCCACATAATTTCTATTGAATCTGGTTTCTATAGAAAAAACAATATAAACTTTATAAAAAAAAATAGAGATTTAAAGTTGCAACTTTACCTTTTAGTGATTGATATGAAGAAGAATTTGAAAAAGAATCTTTGTTATCCCATGGAAGTACAACTGCCAAGTGGCAAAAGTCTTTATTATCCCAAGCTGGGAGAGAATAAAAGCAGTTATGGAAGCCATTCCTTCGTACGCCATGTCATGTTTTCTCATTTCGAAAGGAGAGTGAAAGGAAGGCTTTGTCGCTCGAAACAAATTGAACGAGGGGAGAGGGGTGAGAGACCCTTATCTTTTCAATCTAGCTTTGGTAGCAAAATTAGCGTGGGATGACCCCTAGGTCCTCACGGTTAATGGTTTTAAGCCAATTGGGCCCAACCTGGGCCCTTCGAGCCCCCAAAGGGTAGCTGATTACATTATCCCAGGAACTAGGATCTGGAATTAGACTTTGTTCAATTCAATTCCATTTTGGGGAAGTGTAAGCAAAGGAAATCCTCAAAATTAAGTTGTTCAACTTGAACCTAGAAGACCAGCTTATCTGGACTCTTGACATCCATGGAAAATTCAGTGCGAGATGAGCCTATTTTCTCCTTAAATCTGAGGAAGAGGGGGAAGGAAAACTCGACTAGTTGGCTAGAGTCTCTCATTCAGCCTTATCTAGGAGTCACTGGAAGGTTCTAGCTAGGGAAGAAGATTGTCTCGAACCCCACATGCCCCATTTATAACTCGGGGGAAGAATCAGTGGACCATGCTATTACTTCCTGTGAATTTGTTAGATGTATTTGGTTTGGTAGCCTGTTGGGGTTAAGATCTCATTCAGCTGATGGAATTAGATGTATTTACTTCCCCCAAAGATGATATTCTCTCTCTTCACAGACAGGATTCTGAGGGAGAAGACACTGATTTCTTCAAAGAAATCAGAGCTTGAATGCGGTGATGATAGCACAGGTTCTCCGGAGGCAGGATGGGAGCCCCCTCTAGATGGACTGTTGAAGGTTTTAAACACCTTGAGGCTTACGCCTTTAGCCATTTAAAACCTTGATCCTATAGTGACACTCATATGTTTGAAACACTTAGGCTTAGTTTGAAAAGATTACAGATATAAATATGTAGAGTGCAAAACCTTATATTTTGTATTATCTTGAATGTATTTATAATATATACTTTTGTATTTGTACTCCTTCAAAACTGAGCCCTAATTTTACTAAGCATGAGCATTCCTGTATCATTATTTCCTTAGGCTCCATTTGGAAGGAGTACAAATACAAATAAGTAGAGTGCAAAATCTTGTATTTTGTATGTATTCGTACTCTACATATTTGTATTTGCACTTTGATGTAGGGTAACCAGGCCCAGCCCATTACAGGCTGGAGGGCCCAACCCACGAGCACCAGTCGGGGTTCTCGATCCAGCACGGTAGGGGGCTACCTTGCTCCCATCGATGGGGCCAACCGCAGGATACCCCCGTGTCCCTACGGTGCCAGTTGCTTGCCCTTGTATGATACTCATCGGGAGTGTTCATCTCCACTTACCTCTAGGCAATTCAAGTATAAATAGGAGGCACCCCCCCTCCAGGTAAGGGGTTCCAACTCTAATCCTCACTCCAGGACTTTAACTCTTGAGAGCCTAGTGCCTACGAGCGACCTTGTCCAAGCCCTTGTTTGCACCAGACCTCCCTCTTCTATCCTCATACTAACTTGACCGTTAGAGCCTCTGCCTCGGGTTCTCACTCGAGGCCTCTGACACCTTCTATCTTGTAGAACCTCTGACCTCCTAAGGGAGTCACAGTGCTCAACCACTAGCCCTCGGCTTCTATAGTACTCGAAGTAGCGATCCACCTCAGCCTACAATCCTCGGCCTCAGCACACCTCCTCTAAACCCTCAAAGCCTTTGGCCACCCTTCGAAGCTCAGGAACAAAATTACTTTGTTGCCCTCAATCAATCCGGGAAGCAACAATTGGCGTCGTTTGTGGGAAGCGTTGCTAAGACGATCCCTTAAAACACTACAAACCTAAGGTCTCCTAAGCTTTGATCACCATGGTACGAAGAGCCAGGAACACTCAAAGCCTAGTCACTCATTAACAGTTCCAAGCGGTCCTTGATCGCCGGGACCACCTCGCAAGGTGTGTGGAGTAAGTTTGCCCCCAGGCAGGAGGTCCCTCCTGAGGTGACCACCCTGCCGAGATGTCAGATCACCAGGGTCAGCACAAACAAGACGAGCTGCCGACCCTTGGCCAAGCCAACATTCGGCTAGCCGAATCCTCGGAGTCTAGCAACAGCCAACCCGCTAGCCCTCCTCAGAGGAACGTCAGACCTCCTAGCCGGAGGGAAGAAGAGCCAGCACAGTCCGAAGACAGTCGTCAACTTTCCAAGCAACATCACCGCCGCAGAAGGGAAAACTCAAGGGATGAAGGCGGGCGTCGCGGTCTTCCCAGTGCCCACTCTAGGTGCTGAGAGCCGACATCGTGCCTCTCCCCCACACGTYTCGGATCTCCGTGATGTACTGAATGACCACCGTGCTCGAAGAGATGCGTGCGACCCAACCTCTGAGTACTGGTACGACCTGAAGAATGAGATAGAATCCCTCATTCACCATGGCCACCTCAAGCAGTATGTAGAGGGCGAGGCTGGTGCCTCGTCCTCTCAGCAGCAACAACAACAACATTAGTAGATAGTTGGCATCATCACCGGGGGCACGACCTCGGGTGGAGCCTTAGCCTCAGCCCGCAAGTTCTATGCCAGGCAGCTAAACATCCAAGGGCCTACCCCCAAGAAACTGAAGCAGCAGGAGACCCTCTCCTATACGGATGAGGACTTGAAGGGGGTCACAGTCCCCCATTATGATGCTTTGGTGATCTCGGTCGTCATCGCAAACTTCGTAGTTAAGAAGATTCTTGATGCAATGGCTCATCGACCGACATCTTCTTCTATGAAGCCTTTGAGAAGATGAAGATAGCGCCTGAGCGCCTCCAGCCAGCCGACGTCCCACTATTTGGCTTCTCCAGTAATGTGGTTAGACTGGAGGGAAGAATCACCCTATCCGTCATGGTAGGGGCCGAGCCTCGGTAGGTGACGAGGATGACCGAGTTCCTGGTCATGAAGATTGGTTCGCCCTACAATGCAATCATGGGGAGGCTGGCCCTTCATGCACTTCGGGCAGCCATCTCTTTGTACCACCTTGCCCTCAAATTTCCCACCAAACACGGTGCCAGAATCGTTCATGGGGACCAATATACCGCCTGCTAGTGCTATGTGACAGCACTAAAGGGCAAGAACAAGGAAGCCTTGCCACTAGAGGGCCTCGACCTCAGGGAGGAACTAGCAAGCCGAGGCCAATCAGCCGAGGACCTCATCTCAGTTCACCTAGACGAGGCCGAGCTTGAGAAAACAATCCACGTCGGGTCCAGCCTTCTC